ACTTCAGTTTTATCTTTCAGAAATCGTATAGTCAAACTTCACTTCACCCCACTGTACCTCGCCAAAAAGAAATTTTTAGCTTGCAACTCGTCATAGTCGCTCGAGTGTGTACGAATGATATGTATGTACATGTAAAGTGAAGTGGCTGCATGGAACATGGCTCTTAGCTAACGGGGCGCTGATGACGAAAATGACAAAAGAAGCAGCAGCGCGGTAGCAACAACTGCGCGGAAAGCGAGGGAGCTGCAAAGTTAGCGAGATGACGACAACGAATTATGGTGTAAAATAATGTCGCATGTATGTAGATATGTATATGAATTTTCTCGTAGTACACAATTTACAGCCTATCCATAATACTAGGCCAGCCATCCAGGCAGGCAGTCAGGCAGGCAGTAACCCAGCTAGCGCGGCAGGCGGGCGCGGAGGTGGGCATGCAATAAAAGCTACCCATCACGAACGAGTGGGTCTTTTCAGACTCCAACGCTTTGCCTTCGATACCACCACCGCGCGCAGCAACGAGATTGCCCTCAACAGCAACAAAGCAATAGCAATAGCGATGGTACCACCACCACCACCACCACCACCGCATGCAACAACATCACTTACGCTTCGGTTGACTTTATTTTTAGTACTCGCATGAAAATTGTTTTCGTATTTCAATGCGTTGATGCATCGCCGCAATCAAGGAACGCGCGGGTGGTGCGGCGCGATGTGGGGAAGTGCTGGCTGTTCGTGTTCGTGTCTAAATCAACCAAGGCAACGCAGAATTGTTGCTGGCTTTCAAATGTTGTATGCCTACACATATTCAGTGGATGTTTTTTTGAAGTACATAGCTTCTTGTTGCTGTTGGATACTGTTGTTGTTGTTCTTCTTCTTCATGCAGTTGGCGCTTCAGTGCGTATGCCGCAGATGTGTGCGTGTGGGTGTTTTTGTTTTTCTTTTAAACACACATCACTTTGAGAGCAAAATAGCACGACAGCTCAAAGTACAAAAACAAAATAAATAAACGTAGACAAAATTTAATAAACAAAATTAAAAAAAAGCACACACAAATAACAAAAAGGTAAGTAGCTAAGCTCAAGTCAAAAAGCAAGCCGTTCCAGTTTTTTTTTTCATAAGCGATTCGAGGGCAACAAAGTTTTTCTATAATTTTCNACACAAATAACAAAAAGGTAAGTAGCTAAGCTCAAGTCAAAAAGCAAGCCGTTCCAGTTTTTTTTTCATAAGCGATTCGAGGGCAACAAAGTTTTTCTATAATTTTCAATTTAATTTTTGTTTTGCTCAGCATTTCTTTAGACTGTACAAAGCAACCTAACCAAAAAATCACCAATAAAGAAGAAAAACAAAAACAGCGAAGACTTTCATATCTAACAAAATGCTATTTGTTTAGTGGTGGGCGTATTGTATTGCCCGGTTCATTGGGATACGCAATACAATGGCGGGGAGTCTGTTTCACATTTACGCTTTAAATGCGTCGCATTTTATTTTTTATTTTTTTTAATGTGCGCCACGATAAGTGCATCGTTAAATTTAAATTTGCATGCAACCACACGAAAGCTGAAGCTGTTTAAGCATGTACATTCACATAAATTTAATTTAGTTAGATTTTTATTTTTTTGTAGAGATTAGAAAAAGCGGACCCGCTGGCCTCGTTACACTCTCTGGGTCAATGCAATGGAAATGCAGCGGAAATTTATTTATTCAAGGCAAGTGATAAGCGTTTTTTTTTCAAATTAATGTAAAGGCAGTAAAATATTTTATTGAAATATGNCAATGGAAATGCAGCGGAAATTTATTTATTCAAGGCAAGTGATAAGCGTTTTTTTTTTTTCAAATTAATGTAAAGGCAGTAAAATATTTTATTGAAATATGTTTTACGGCGCGGATGNAATTTTTGTTTTGCTCAGCATTTCTTTAGACTGTACAAAGCAACCTAACCAAAAAATCACCAATAAAGAAGAAAAACAAAAACAGCGAAGACTTTCATATCTAACAAAATGCTATTTGTTTAGTGGTGGGCGTATTGTATTGCCCGGTTCATTGGGATACGCAATACAATGGCGGGGAGTCTGTTTCACATTTACGCTTTAAATGCGTCGCATTTTATTGTTTTTTTTTTTTAATGTGCGCCACGATAAGTGCATCGTTAAATTTAAATTTGCATGCAACCACACGAAAGCTGAAGCTGTTTAAGCATGTACATTCACATAAATTTAATTTAGTTAGATTTTTATTTTTTTGTAGAGATTAGAAAAAGCGGACCCGCTGGCCTCGTTACACTCTCTGGGTCAATGCAATGGAAATGCAGCGGAAATTTATTTATTCAAGGCAAGTGATAAGCGTTTTTTTTTTTAATTAATGTAAAGGCAGTAAAATATTTTATTGAAATATGTTTTACGGCGCGGATGAATGCGCTTGCATGTGTGCGTGGGGTGTGTATGGCGGCAAGTTCGTTTCCCGCATGGGCGGACTTTTATCGACTTGGCAAAGAGTGTGAAATAACCAGGGTGCACTGCTACAGCTCACTGCATTTTTTTGTTTAAGTGGCAACCCCACTTGAAAAACTACAACAGCATAAAATTGTTCCAAACAACTTTACTTTATTAAAATACTAAAAGGATTATGCACATTCTTTATGAGTGGCAACTCTACTCAAAAGTCGTTTTCTTTATAAAAGTTATTATAAACTCTGTTTACTTGATGCTCGTGTTGCAATATTTATCAAACTATAATTGCTAAAAACATGGCTTATCGTTTATGAAAACTGGCAACTCTACAAAAAGAATAATAAAATTATAAAATTAATCTAAACGCAACTTAATGGATATGTACTCCATTTGTAATATTTTACATAAATAGTGAAATTTTAAATTAACTTTTACGTATATGATAGGTGGCAACACTGCTTAAAAAGTACACACATATGTACATATTTACAAATACCATCTAGTGTTACTCATAATTAAGTTAATTAGATTTAACGCACCTAATTAAATTTACAAAACTGGTAACCCTATAAAAAATACTTTTTCAGTACTAACTTTTGTGCATCTTGCATAAGTTGTCTCATTTATTTAATTTACCTGAATTCCTCAGGAAAGAGGCCACTATACTAAAACAAATTTTTTTCCAGGCTCCTCAAGCGATTTTAATTTAGGGATACGATATCGAACAGAATTGATCGATGTGGTACTCATTTAAAGTATCGCTTTAAAAATATCGGGTACCCATTAATATCGGAATAAAAAGACTCGATATTCCAAATATCGATACCAAAATGCAAAAAATGTATCTAAATATAGGTCTCGTATATAGGCCGCTGTGGTGTAATGGTTAGCAGTGCGCACAGCTTGAAAATGAAAAACAGCTTCCCATTAAAACCAAATCGCCGTTCAGAGTCATTTGCGGCCGCCCTTTTGTGCCACAACATTAAGGCGCGCGCGACAAATCGGAGGAGAATCTCGGTCAAACATTAACATATTGTGTAACAGCACGTAGAGATTGATGTGTTGACTTAAAACACCGAGGTCGCGGGGTCAAATTCCACTACATGCAATCCTAACTACATTACACATTTCTGCTCTTTAAAGCCCAATTTATATCGGGACGAATTGTTACTCGCATTATCCTTGTGAGTTTATGACATTCGATACGATACTAGGGTTCTGGTACTCGATTCCAAAAAATATCGTTTTAAAACTATCGAGTAGAAAATATCGGTATCGAATGCCAAAAGTATCGATATGGTATCGTATCGTATCGAAATTCGTGTCCCTATTTTCATTTAATAATGACACTTCTGCAGTTTTTAACTTTCGCTTTTTTCAAAAAGTCGATGCACCAGAACTCAAGTAGCGCAAAATTTAATGAGACGGTTGGGAGCGCTTCCAATTTGAAGTTGTACTTCCAAAACGCTTCTGGCATTCGTACTAAATCTGAATTAGTTCGCAATTTTAGTTCTCAGCTCGACTATGACGTTTTTGTTATTGTTGAGAGGTGGTTGAATTCAGTTTTTAATGATAATGAATTTTTTGACGCTAACCTTTATAATGTCTACCGAAAGGATAGAGACGCTGCGAAAACTGGATGTTTAAGAGGAGGAGGTGTCTTAATTGCAGTTCGTCGCAATCTGTATTCGTATTTAGTCGCGCTTGATAATGATAATTCGCTTCTTGATCAGATCTGTGTATGTGTCACTGGCTCGTCGTTCAACGATTCCTTGTTCATCATAGCTTCCTACATTCCACCAAATAGTAAGGATGAGCTTTATCATGCGCATGCTGATAATATCAACTCTCTAGTTTTGAACAAACTTGGCGACAGTCACTTATGTGTTTTAGGTGACTTTAATTTATGCAATGTGCGTTGGTCGGACACTTTTTCGAACTTCGGGCTCACTCCTAACAATATAACTGCCCCGCATGAGTCATACCTCATCGATAGTCTTTTAAGTCTAAATCTTAATCAAATTAATAAGTATGTTAACAAGTTAGATAGAATTCTAGATCTAATCTTTGTAAGCGACAATATAATCTGCAATATTGAGGAATGTTATTGTCCTATGTCTCAGTCGGACATGCATCATCTGCCACTAATACTGAAATTTGAATTGTACAAATTTTTAAAATCTGCTCCTGTTAAGCAAGTTATCTTCAATTACAAGTCTTGTGATTTCGGCAAGCTAAATAACTCGCTTTCCATGCTCAATTGGGATGAATTACTTTCAGGACAGGATGTTTCTAATTGCTATTATTCTTTTAAAACAGCGTTAGTTGATTTATGTAGGGAAAATGTGCCTATTTTGAAAAATAAACCACATAAGCTACCATGGTATAATCGGGAGTTAAAAAAGTTAAAGAACCTTAGGAATAAATTCTTCAAGAAGTTTAAAGTTACAGGAAATCAGATTTTCTTTGATAAATATCAGAAATATGCTAAAGATTTTAATTGCTTAGACAAATTCCTTTATAAAAACTATATTTTTGGGGTGGAGTTGAACATTAAATCTAATCCAAAAGCTTTTTGGCAGTTCATAAAGTCTAAGAAATGTGGCTCTTGCATTCCTTCGACTGTCTTTTTGGACGATAAATGTGCTAGTGGCCCTACTGAGGTGGCGAGTCTCTTCGCTGAATTTTTTAGTGCCAACTATGTCTGTGATGATGGTAATTCCTGGCCTGATATAAACCACGATTCAGCTACGGAGTTAAGTTTTGGGACTCTAACTCTGTCCCTTGATGACGTGGAAGCTGGCATTTCTAAGCTGAAACCGTCTACGAAAGCGGATGTTGATGGGTTTTCTGCTCTTCTCCTCAAGAACTGTCCCGCTCTAATTCTACCTCTACATCGTATTTTTAATTTGTCTCTTGCGTCGGGTGTCTTTATCGAGGATTGGAAAATTACTTCTATTAACCCTATACTTAAGAGTGGGAATAAAAATAATGTTCGCAATTACAGGCCCATTTCTAAACTGTCAACTGTATCGAAACTTTTTGAATCTATAGTCAAAGAAAAAATGTATTTTATCACTAAAAGTTTAATCCTGCCTAACCAACATGGTTTTGTTTCCAATCGATCTACTGTGTCTAACCTAGCTGTATTTTGTGAATACTGTATGACGTCTCTTTCTGCAGGTTTCCAGGTTGACTGTATTTATACGGACTTTAGTAAAGCCTTTGATAGAGTCTCTCATTCGATTTTACTTAATAAGTTAGCATATCTTGGCTTCCATTCTGTTTTTTTGAAGTGGATTAAATCCTACTTGATCAACAGGCGCTGTGTTGTCTCGATAGATGACATTTCGTCAGATGCATTCCTTGCCTCCTCTGGGGTACCCCAGGGAAGTATTTTAGGTCCTTTACTTTTTATATTATTCATAAATGACATTAGCTCATGTTTTTCATTCGCAAATTTTTTGCTATATGCCGATGACCTGAAAGTATTTTCAATGATCAGAAACGAAAGTGATGCTACTTTGCTTCAGGCCGACATTAATAATCTCAATCTTTGGTGCATAAAATCACGCCTCTCTTTAAATATTAAAAAGTGCTTTAAAGTAACTTTTGCAAAAATTCATAGTCCTTTATCAACGAGTTATACAATCGCGGAGTCTTCGCTAGACTCTGTTGCCGAGGCCAAAGATCTTGGCGTCATTTTTACTTCAAATTTTTCTTTTAGTAGGCATATTAATCTTGTGATTTCTAAATCCTTCTCTGTTTTGGGTTTCGTGAGGCGGAACTGTGTAAAATTCTCTGATCCCTATACTATTAAATTACTATACTCATCTTTTGTTCGTCCCATTTTGGAATATGCTACATATATTTGGAGGCCATTCCACAAAACTTTTATAAATAGGTTAGAACGTGTCCAAAAGGTGTTTCTTAAGTTCGCATTGCGGTCCTTAAACTTTTCGGATCCTATACCACCGTACAGTAGTCGTTTGCTTTTGCTTAACCTTAAGTCATTGGAAACGAGGCGTTCTGTACTTTCCCTGACTTTTGTTTTTAATATTATTAATGGTAGTGTGGATTGTCCTTTTCTCTTAGGTCGCATAAATTTCAACATCCCTCAGCGAGTCTTGCGTAACATTTTGCCGTTCTATTGTGAATTCCATAGAACTGATTACGCGCGCAATGCCCCCTTGGTACGTACCTTAAATGAGCTTAATTTGATCTCGAATTCTATCTCACTTGATTTCTCTTACTCAAGAAATTTGTTTATTAATCTTTTGTATTCTTTCTTTTGAATCTTGTATCCAGTTTAATCAATAGTTTTAGTGTCCTGCATATATTAATTTTGTAACTAGTCTGTAAGAAACTACTGTTTCATAGACGAATAAATAAATAAATAAATAAATAAATAAACTTGTACATGGGTAAGGCTTCCTCAAATGGGCCCCAAATTTAACTAGATTAATATATTTCAATGATATTCAGGCAGCACCGAGTTTTGTAGTCGAAAAGTACACTGTGTAAATTTTGTTGCAAAATTCCAAATACTTTTTTTTATCAACAATTGAAAATTTTTACAGTGTTTTGGACATTTTAATTTTTTTTGAAAGTAAGTGTCCGAATGAACCAATTTTTTAGGTGCAGACTAAACACATTAAATTATGCAATAAAGTTATTTGCGTTACAAAAATATTTTTTTTTTTGCTTTTCAATCATTTTCTATGAACAATTAAACATTTAAACAATTTCTGCGCCTCGTGGACGAAAGTTTCTATAAACAACTTATGTAATAAACATTTCTGCATTTATCTTGCCTTGTTTTTATTTGCCAGTGTGCTTGCCCGACTCTCGCGGCTCGATCAAGCCAAACTATATCAAAATGCAAATATATATTTTTTTAACTTCATTTAGCTTTTAGAAAACTTATTGCTAAAAGATAAACAGAATAACGCTAAGGCCGGCCTCCTCGTTAGCAGATCTTTAAATTAATCTTTCGAAATAGAGAAAATAGCTTTCTAGATACATACATAGTTGCCGGAATAGAGAATTGCCATACGAAAGACTTTTGTCTTTAAAAAGACTGTGGTGAGTTGAAAGACAGATGTCAGAATTGGCTTGTTAGCGGTATTGTTTGTCTTTCAGAAAATCGTTTCTAAAAATTAAATTAAATAAAAAAAAACTTTTCCTTTTTAAAGCAATAAAATCTAAAATTTAAAAGAAAATTAAATTTTAATCGCAAGAAAATTAAATAAAATAGTTCATATGTATCTAAAGAAAAATAAATAAAAAAGGAAAATGAAAAATTTTCCTTCCCGCCATTGCGACTGTTTAGGCAGTGCGCTCAAAATCATATAAATACTATACTTATTTTTATATTTGATATCAAACTGAACGAAAACAGTGAGTGATGCCACAAAAGATGGGCCGCACTGTGCCCATACTTAAATTTTTCATTAACTAATGAGCCCGTATCTTCTAACTCTGAGAGGAAACATTAATTAAGAGACTAAACGATCATTAGTTAATTGCCCGTTGGAGCTAATTTAATGAACGTTTCTGAGTGTAACTGTCAGATTTAACTCCTCGACTCAGTGTAAACTGTCGCTTAGGTGTTAACATTATTCTTGCTGCCCTCCCAAAGCATTTTTGAGTAAGTTCCTCAAAGCGAAGGCGGTTTCAGTAAATAAATACAAGACTCATTACATAATCAGTCCAGTATTATTATTTTTAAGATGGTGTTAAACATTTAACAGTTAACCAATGTTTATGAAATTTCTCACCCGCTAATGTACTACAATCAACTTTTCTAAAAGTCCGCATGACGCCAACTTTATTAAAAAGTGTATTACGTAAATTAGCATGAATTGGGGGAACAAAGAAGCAATTGCTGAAGATACACAGATAAACAAACAAACCAACAAAAAATAATTGAAATCAACAGTAATGAAGCAGGCGGGCAACAAATAAAAATATAAGCGCGGCCCTGCACAACCACAAAATGGAGAAGAAGCAGCAGCAGTAGCACATTGGTTTCACTGTCACAACAATAACAACAACAACAACACTTGAACAACTTTATATGGTCAGTCACACTTCAAGGACACAATTCAATTACATACACTCGCTTGTGTAAATAAATAATAGATTCATAATTTTTTTCGTCAAATACACTTCAATAAAGCAATTCAAGAAAAAAAGGCGCAAAAAATGAACAACAATTAATTTTTGTATAATAATTAATAAAGAAATTTGTATTTAAATGTGTCAAAGGCAGTTGTTTGGTCGGTAGTGTTGATCTACAAATGGAATTATTGGTAGATATCTATGCATGGTGTGCGCTTACTTAAGTATCTACTTGGTTATAGAGCAAAGTGTGAGTGGGAAATTATGTATATACTGCCATACATTAGGGTGGGACATAGTTTTTAGGAGAGCGAAGTTTTTTCCTAAAAGATTAAAACATTAACATTGTAAGAATATCAACAGTGATTAGATCTGAAAGGAAAAAAGATTTTAGATTAGCGGCAACCATAAAGAAAAACTATTTTTAAAAACATTTCACATTAGGCTGGGACATACATAGTTTTAAGGGCAAAGATAAAAAAATAAAATCCCGAACCAGGAACCTATTCAAATCTCTAAATGTAGAGATAGATTTTAAATTAGCGGTAACCATAAAGAAAACCAATATTTTAAAAACTTCTCTGAAGTAGATGTTTTGTTAAAATTTTTACATTAAAAAAAAACACAAAATAAGGAGGGATCGATTCTCTTAAGACACTATGGAAAATATATCAGCTCTATCAAACTTCAACAACCTCATCAACTTAATTTTTTTGAATTAATTACCTCTAATTAGGTTCTACCTTGTTGTGCACTCCTTTATATTTTGGTTTATCAAAGGTTTTTATTTTTAGATCATTGCAGTCATTATTTTTTTCGATTTTTATTTTTTCGCTAAAAAATAATCGATATGACCAATTGAAATCTTTCGTGATCTAAAAATAACAAATAAACGACCAAAAATTTATCGGAAAAATAAAAATTATAAAAGAACGGTTAAATTTGATGAGAAAAATAGAAATCCAATTTGAACGGTTAAGTTATTGTTTTTATTATAAAATAAATTTAAACAGAAATTGTTAACAAGTTGTATGGAAGAAAATGCGGAACACCCTCGACAAAAAAAAAAAAATTTTTAAATCAAATGGATTTTTAAAAATTTTCAAACTTTCCCATTATTGGGCCTTATGAATAAAAAATAAGCAATTGCCTTTTCTTAAAATTTCAGACCTTTTACACGATTTGTTCTAACAAATTTAAGTAAAAGGTGTGAAATTTTAAGAAAAAACAGTTGCTTATTTTTTATTCATAAGACCTATTATACTAAAATTGAGTAGGCTACAAAACTGCATACCCAATGAAATTCTGATTAAAATGTTGAAAATTTTGCTGAAATTTTTTTTCAATTTGTTAAATTTTCCTAAATTGTGCACGAAGTATTAAACTTTGATTAATATGTTTTATGTTATAGAATTTACTATATTTTTATTAAAAATTAACGGAAAAAATGTATCACGTAAAATATTGTGAATATTGCGAAAAAATAAATGTGTGCTATTTACGTGAGCGCCACTGTATATACTTAGATGGCGATCGATTTAATAGAAACTTAAGTCAATTTCTAGAGTGAAAAAAATTTCTTCATCTTGCGCCAAATTGCTATTCTTATACATTCTCTGTGGCGGTAATTGAGTTCATAAAAAGTGGAGGACTCTTCTTTCTAACCTCTGACGCTTTTAAAACATCCAAATTAACCAAATTTTGAGTGTTTTTCTCTCATCGAAAAT